GAGGAGGGAGGGAGGTCAGGGAGGAGGGAAAGAAGGGAAGGGAGAGTTGGGAAGGGAACAGTTTGCATCTTAAATGTCCCCCAAAGTCCTGTCTGTTAAGGGCTGAGTCCCCTTCTTGGCCCTATTGGAAGATGATAGAACCTTTAAGATGTGAGGCCTCATTTGGTGTTGGTTTTCAGATCGTGTGGACATGCCCTGACAAGAGACAGTGGGATCCCAGCCCCTTCCTCTTTCTGCCTTTACCCTGGCTCCTGTGAACAGCTTTGCTACCCCATCAGCCCAAATGAATGGGGCTGCCTGATCATGGGACACAGCCTCTAGAGGTACCATACAGACAGAACAAATCATCCAAAACGAACCTGATCTCTTCCTACGCTGATTACCCGAGACATTTGTCATAGCAATGTGAAGCTGAGCCACAAGAACATAGCTAGCAGAAAATGAGAGACAGAAAAGGGGGCGGGCCAGAGTCCTCCTCCTGAGGACAGGGCGGGTCCTCCTCCTGCAGACAGGCCAGGTCCTCCTCCTGAGGACAGGCCGGGTCCTCCTCCTGCGGACAGGCCAGAGTCCTCCTCCTGCGGACAGGCCGGGTCTTCCTTCTGTGTCACCTAAAATGGTCAAAATACTGTGTCACGGCCTCTACACAACATTAGAAGGCTACTTTAGGAAGTATTTCAAATAAAGAAGTTATTTTAGCTCTTCACACATACTTGTTTTTATTTATGGGTTCAGACAGCTATTTTGACGCAATTGAAAATGCTCTAGCCAGCATAACTAGCATAATAATCAAATCAAGAGAAGAAATAGTTTTTGAAGTTCAGTTTTCTAGTTTTTTCTTCTGTCAAATCCAATGATTTCTTTGGCTTTGTTTTGTGGTTATCCTTTTTGAGACAGGGTCTACTAAAGCCCAGGCTGGCCTCTAACGAATTACGTCAAGCAGGATGACCTTGAACTTGTGTTCCTCCCAAGTGCTGGGATTAATGGCATGCATCACAATACCCAGTCCATGATGCCATTTTTATAAGTCTTATCTACTCAGATGTCCACCTGGAAAGATGCAAGTGCATTCAGCATTGGATATAGCAATTTCTGGTGCTGTTCTGAATTACTTACTGTAATTTTTTCATTTTTCACTTTTCTAAAGAGTTTGAATACTTTTTAAAACAGCCAATCAGGGGGCTGGAGAAATGGCTCAGGGGTTAAGAGTACTGGCTGCTCTTGCAGAGGACCCAGCACCCACATGGTGGTTAACAACCATCTTTAATTTCAGTTTCAGGAGAATCCAACTCCTTCTTCTGACCTCCTTGGGCACTGCACGACATAGGTGCACTCACATGCATGCAGGCAATATACTCATACACATAGAATAAAAATAAATCAAGTTTTAAAAAAACAGTAATCAGGGCCAGGGGATTGGCTCAGCAGGCATAGGCCCTTGCCGACAGCCTGAGTATAAACCCCAGTATACATATGGTGGAAGGAGAGAGTCAGCTCCTGTAAGATGTCCTATAACACACACACACACACACACACGCGTAAACAAAGTTAAAAATAGCTGGGCATGTTAGGCCACCCCTTTAATCCCAACAACTCAAGACGCAGAAGCTGGTAAATCTCTGGGAGTTCTGGGCCAGTGTGGTCTATACAGTGAGTTCCAGGCCAAGCAGGGCTTCAATCTGAGACCCTGCCTCAAAATAAATAACTTTTTAAAATAGCAAAGCTGTTTCTAAGGGAAGTAATAGTTTTCATTTTCCCTTTTTAAATTAATTTTTAGTTACTATCCAACATAGTTTCATCAAGCAGCTTTACTTCCTAAAAACATACTAGAAGTTCATCTGCAAAGATTCTCAGCAGAAATGGAAATATAACTCGTGCTCTTTGTTTAAATAAACTTGGGTTTCTAAAAATATCGAGGTACTCTGCACCTAGCATCGTGCCATTAAAAAGATGACTCAAAATCCTTTTACACGCAGTCCCCTACACTCTGGCTCTCCAAACAGGTCAGCAAGGAAGAAAAATGAAGCTTTCACCCCCTCCCACTTGTCACATGTTTGCCGCAGTGACTGAGTTTAATCTCCACAGTAAGTCAGGAAAAAAAGACCAAGACACTGCCTTCCGTAAGGCAGGATTCCCCTGTGTGGGCAGAGGCAGCTGGTAGACCTGGGTTTAAATAATGACTCTCGGGGACTGGGGAGACGGCTCAGTGGGTTACAGTGCTCAGCAAGCATGAGGACCCGACCTGAGTTCAAATTCAAACATCTATGCGAAAAGCCACGCATGGCTGCTTGTGCCTGTAACCCTAGCATCGGGGACCGGAGACAAAGGATTCTGAGAACTCACTGGCCAGTCAACCTGGTCTAATCAGCAAGCTTCCGGTTCAGTGAGAAACATTGTCACAAGGTAGGAAGTCAGAGAGTGCTAGAGGAAAACACCAGATATCCTGTGTGCATTTGAGTGTGCAGGTGTGTGTTCATGCAGAGGTCAGAGCACACATTATCACACAATACAGAGAGAGAGAGAGAGAGAGAGAGAGAGAGAGAGAGAGAGA